ATGACCAGTTTGGGTCATGACCAGAGTCCTGGAACGGATTAAGTTTGTGAGCCAAGGTACCACTGTATAAAGGTTTTAACCTGGTGTCAAAAAGAATACAAAGCAGGTGTCAGGCACACCTCTTTGGGGAGCTCATTCCATAGCTGGAGTCCCAAAACCAGAAGCACCCTTCTCCCAGTAATGGGGGGGGGGGGCTCCTGGAGAGGGACCCATGAAGATGACCTCAGGGTCTGGGTAGGTATATATGGAATGAGGCATTCCTTCAGATAACATGTCCCCAAGTCATGTCCAAGGCACAGAATAACACGGTTAACCTTTCTATCCTTGACCCTTAAATCTAATTTGAGCTTGTAAGCACCTTCAGAATGATGTACATGCTCCCACTTTAGTGAGTTTCCAACAAATGAGAATACTTCTCTGCATATCCTATAGGGCATAGATGAGGTATGCAAGTGAGTACTTCCAGCTGAAGTTAAAGGTCATGATGGAACACAGGGTACCTTGTGCCCCAGTTGTTTTGCTATAGGGGAAAAATGCATGTCCTTCAGCATATTACATTTACTATGGCATAATGCTTTTGTAGACTAATGCCAATTTTTACAGATGCATGGAAAAATTAATCCGTTAACTTAATGCTTTAAAGTGTGAGCCTCTTTACTGATCAGCTTCCTAGCTTTGAGGCTGCACAATTCCCCACTGCCTCGTGACAGTGACACATGCATTGGTGACTTCCCGTCTCGACTTCTGTAACGCGCTCTACGTGGGGCTACCCTTGAAGACGGTCCGGATACTTCAACTGGTTCAAAACAGAGCTGCCAGGCTGCTGACAGGGACTGGGCATTGTGTCCACATGACTCCAGTTCTCCGTCAGCTTCACTGGCTTCCCATTGAAGTCCGGGCCCAATTCAAGGTGTTGGTGATGACCTATAAAGCCCTAAACGGCTTGGGTCCTGGTTACCTGAAGGAGCGCTTGCATCCATATATGCCCAGCCGCCCCTTGAGATCGGCGGGGGAGGCCCTTCTCCGGGAACCCTCCATGAAAGAAATTAGGAGGGTGGGTACTCGGAGGAGGGCTTTCTCTGCGGTGGCGCCTAAGTTATGGAACGTGCTCCCCAGAGAGGTCCGCCTGGCGCCGTCGTTATTTGTTTTTCGGCGCCAGGCGAAGACCTTTTTATTCAAGCGGCATTTTAACTGTTAACATTATTGGTTTTATCTGGCCAGGGCGGCTTATTTTATACTGTATTGTTGTATTTTAATTTAATATTTATATTTTTAATTTATATTATAATTATTTTAACTTAATGATGTGAGCCGCCCCGAGGCTTCGGCGAATGGGGCGGCATAAAAATGTTTTAATAAATAAATAATAAATAAAGTCAGAATGGCTGAACTCATTATAACTGCAGAGGCTGTGACATCTCTGTGGATTACTATGATTCTGAGCAGCTGAAGCACCAGGTAAATTCACCCAACCTAGCTACCTACCCTGTGAATATGCATTAATAGAATCAGATGATCAGGCTCACCAAGGGCTATCCTTCCCCTACCACCCCTGATCCTCCAGCCAGTATCCTGGTCTCCTTTGTAGCACATTCCCTGTCTCCACTCTACCTGCAACCCCTTTCTACCCACCACCACTCCAGGTGCAAGCTGCTTTATTCACCATGATTTCTCCCCTAGAGGTTCCAAAAAAACACAACTGGCCTTTTTTTCCAGCTTCTGAAACATGTGCTGATCTTTTAGTAATTTGAACAAAAGTTGAAGTAATAAAGCCCCATTTATCTGTCTCATTCTGCCACCTCTAAAGTTGTTTTTAAACTGTGAAATTTGCACATTTTTAAAAACTGGGAAATACTTTTCAAGACAGGGTCATTGAGGCCCCATCAGTGTGGGTAGGCTAGACATGCACATGGTGGGCATGTCGTGAGCAAAGCTGGCTGGTGCTGGAGGTCAGACTAGATGGCCCGGGAGACCCCTTCTGACTCGCTCTATGTTTCTAAGTAAATGGAGGAGAACTATTATGCATTGAAAAAGGCAGGGCTGATAGAAGGGAATGTAGGAGCACTGGTGAGATCTGGTAATACCTGTTGTCTTGGGGCTGTGAATGTGACATGTTGGTCCCTACTAGGGACCAACCCAAATCTTAACAATTTTACCTAATAACTATGCAATCTTGGGCTAAATTACATTTAGAGGTAGCGATAAAGAGATTGCATCACCAGTCCTAGAAATTAGCCTTCAATGTGTTCCTGAAGCAAAGATAGGAAGCTGACAGACAGACACAGACAGACATCCCCTCTAAAACCAGGGGTAAGCAAAGATTCCACTTTGTATGTGTGGGACTGAAAATTCCATAAGCTCCAATCAGCATATCTAATGAACAGTGATTATACTGGTTGTAGTCCAAAGCATCTGGAGGGCACCAGATGGTCCACTCCTGTTCTAAAAAGTTATTTTTGGTTAGAAGACAGCTAACAACATAACTGGGTTTGTATTCCAGAAACTGGAATCACCGCAGAAAGCTACTTCTGGTAACAACTAATTTAAGGATTCTAGTTTTTTGTGGCTGAAATCTCATGAGAATAAAAATGTTTCCCCTGGTTTGAGTTCTCTGCTTAATTCAGTCAAAGTAAATACATTATCTTCAAATATGAAGATTATTGAGATGAGGATAAACTAGTAATATTCCAAAACTGTATTCATTTTCTGGATAGAAAAACACAGTGTAAAGTGTAGCTTTTAAAAGAGAGGGGGAAAAAGACTTGACACTTTAAAGTAATAAAGTATTTACATGTTTTATTGCAAAATTTGTTATCAGTAACATGTAGAAATAACTCTTAGATCCCTTAGAATCTACAGATCCCTCTGAAGCTTCAGAAATACTTAAGGAAGAACTTCTGTGTTCCATAAGCTCTGCTTATGCTGGTTTTTTCTTGCTTTAAATATTATGCTGTTCTTATGTGGTTGTTTACTATAAACATGGCAAAAGGCTGTTTGTTCTCATGAAAAACACACTTTCAAAGGAGAAAGTACTTCAATTAGGAAGCGGAACTCCCAGCCAATGGCTCGGCATGCCTAGAATATCTATTCTAAAGCAGAAGTGTGAGGCTGAAAGAGTAAGATCAGGGTCACTCTTTTTGAGGAATTGCAGGCAACTCCTGAAAAAGAAAATGTTTGCAAACGAACCAGTGCAAAAGACAAAGTAGATTTCAGATTGGCACAGAGCGCAATAATAAATAAGCCACAATCATGATATACAGGAGGGGAGAAAGTAATCTGCAGCAAATTGACTGAGTACACTTATGATGCTTGCTACCATAATCAGCTTTGATCTGTGAAGTCTGTTGTACCATAAAGGATGATCACTGCATGATATAATCTGGAATGGGTTACATGTATTACTTAGACATATACTATTTATAATATGCTACACGTTCATATGTGTTAGATCTGTCTGTGCATGGGGGTGGGGGTGCTGAGGCACGCCAGGTGTTGTTGGATTATGATCATGACCAACTACCGGCCATGCTGGCTGGGACTGCTGAGAGGAAGAGTCCCAACAACAGCTGGGGGTTGGTAACAAATTTCTCACTGCTGTAGACATTTGAACATACCGTGTCCTCAAATGAATTTAAGTGCCATGGTTCAAAGACATAACAGCGTATAACTATGCATCTTCGTGAAAAAATGGCATCACATTTTTCATGTTGTTTAAATATGTATTTTGTTTTTTTTAAAAAAATGAAAAAGCACCATTTTCTGCTTTCCCCATTTATATCTATTCTAAAGTCTCATAAAATTTTGATTATTCAAGACACATAATTTGAAGATTTTTCCATGTATTTATATACTCTCTTGGTATACTTTGCATGCCAATTTTTAAAAAATCGGGTCAGAAATCCAACCCTGCATCTATTCATTTAGCATAATACAAATGTTAGTAATAACAGCATCCCTTAAAATTCAGTGCTAAAATAATTCTCTATGAAATCCTGCATTTTAAAACCCTTCCTTTTCCTTCAGATATACCAAGATACAGTAAAGACAGATCAGGCACAGACCATATAATCTTAGACTGCAAATAATTAAAACCTGAAATTATTTAATTTCTTAACAACTGATTTGCTGCAAGATTTGAGGCCTGTAAACCATAGTGAATAAATATTTTATATAAATAATTCATGGAGCATATGCAAGTGTGCTACACTCAAATCTATACTCAGACAGTGGCACTTTTTTATAATGCCTTATGTACCAGACAAAATGAGACCACCACCAAAGTGCAATAGAAACCAAGGAAGTGGCCATGCTACATTGGGGAGGTAAAGGAAATATTCTGGATGAAGAATAACAGGAAACTTTCTGACAGAGTGATGATTTCATTTCAGTTAAGGGTCATACATGCATGATTTACCAGGAAAAAAAAAAACATTTAACGTGCATTTCAAGAACTATTTTAAAAACAAACAAAACAGCTTCTGGTGCCTTCTGTGTTTTACCTCCATTAGGGTGCTGCTGTTCCTCCAATTTTCCAAAAACCAATAGTATTCCACCCAATAAATATCATCCCTAGAAGGGAAATATTTCTTATTTATATCCAATATAATAAGCATATATATTGTTAGCTCATGTTTGCCTCAACAAGATTACAAATTACTTTAAAGGCACAACCCTATGCATATTTAGACACAAATAAGTGCTACAACTCCCAGGATTCCCTAGTCTGCATAGGACTGTACCCTCAAAGTACAAAGCATGCCAAAATATATTACTTAATTGTAAAATACTATTGAAATGCTCAGTGTTTGTTTAATCCTGGCCAATAAAAGATATCCCAAACTGACAGGTCACATGGTATTCTTAAGAGATGCCTACTGCTTTTTCTGTAGAAGCAAAAAATTAAGGAGCTGCATATTTACTGAATTCCAGAGCAGCGCGCGCGCGCTCGCTCTCGCACGCTCTCTCTCTCTCTCTCTCTCTCTCTCTCTCTCATTGTAAAGATCACAACAGGATAAGGAGGAACAGGCCATCTTTGGGCAGGAAAAGCCCAAAAATACCCCTTTGGAAATTTAGTCTTGTATACAATGAAAAATGAATCTAGAGAAATATATAAGATTAGATATTTGTATCGAAACCATTCCTAAGGAAAGCTTTGTTTTCAGTTTGGTTTTACAAATTGGCACTAAAAAATAAGCCTTTATTTCATCCTAACAAAGATCCATAGGATCACATATATGGCCCTGTCTCGTCACATAAAATGCCTGCTTTTACTAAGAATCCACTTTGGGGAAAATGCTGACTTTATTGTTCCTGCTAATTTTTCTTTCTGCTTTATACTTGGGCTGTTTTGTCTGGATTAACTCCTCAGGTGTGTTTCCCAAAGGCGGCAGTAATCGCTTCTTACTGTTCTGACTTTCTGACAGCCATTGTGGAGGCAGCTCAAAAGGCCCAAAGCCTAGCTGTGCGGAATACTTCTCACTGGCCAATTCTGCTTCTGTTGGCATGGCTGGTGCCACTTGTGCCGCCGAGTCTGCAACAGCATGAGGCAAAGACCTCTGAACTAAAGCCTGTTCCACATCTAAGCTGGCGGTAGGAATTTCCTTCTGCTGGTAGTCAGTGCAGCCAAAGGATTTGGTTTCATTCTCTTCATCCTCAGTGGGCTTGAAAATTTGCTGCTGTCCAATGTGAAACATTTCCAGAAGCTGGCTACCAGAGCGGACGTGTGACTCTAGGTTGGTATCCGCAGCCCCTCCAGAGCTGATAATGTTCCTCCGACTATACCTTCGGTGTAGTTGTGCCATAGTCCCTACTAAACATTTCCGTACAGATTTGTTAACAGTGAGGAACAGCAAGGGGTTGGCTAGCAGTGATACCTTGGGCAGCCAGATGGCTGTGAGAATCAAGTATTCAGAAGTGTCCAAAGCATTCAGTACAGTGCGGTAGATCACTAAAGTCATGTAGGGCACACTGCAGAAAATAAATATCATAACCATGGACAGCAACATGGCATGAAGTTCAGATTCCCTCTGAGAGGCATAAGGAATAGAAATTGTATTTTGAGGGGTTCTTAAGGCAGCTATAATGACTTTTTTCTTCTGGCTGGCACTCAGTGCTCTGCGGATGAGGAACATAAAAAGAAACACCACAGCCACTGGCAAAATCACAGTGGTAATGTTGTAAATGATGACATATGCTAAGTGGCCAATGGAGAAACTCCGGGGATCAGTACATGTGGACATAGCATAAATATCTGATACGTTGGTCACAGCAAATACAGGAATGCTTGCCATCACTGCATGAGCCCAGATGTAGATTACCAGGTCTCGAGACTTGGCATCCGATAACTTCCTTTCTAGTGGGTATAAAACTGAATAGTACCTATCAAAGCAAAAACAGAGAAGGGAGGAAAAGGTCTGCATGAGATACAGAAATACAGGATGCAAATTACAATGGAAACCTGGTACCTCCCCCAGATGGTCTGATTTAAATCCAGGGAAATTTTAATCACTGATTTGGCACTGATCCCTAATACAGAAATATCACCAGATTCTTAAATATGCAGAAAGATACTGCCTGAATTATTATTTAGATCAAACTGAGTCTTGAATGAAGAAGGCCAAATAGTAAAATCAAGCTTGTAGTCCATCAGCAAAAACAGCAACATTTCTACTGTGTTCTCCTTTTATTTCTCCCATTGCAATCTCTAATTCTCCACTGAACTGAAGGTAGATTTCACCTTTGCCTTTACTTTCATTTTTGTACTAGAAAAATGCATTCAACCAAGTGAACCTTACCTTATATTTTATGTTAATCTTATCTAATTAATATGAAACCTGTTACTTCCACAATTTAGACACAGCTGTAACAAGTTGCCTCTTCTTGTGCTATTCTGTTCTGGAGTGAAACTGTAACACTATATCAAAACAAATTATGTTTGTGTTTGTTGTATATGTTTGTAAGTGAACAGAAAAAATAGACTATTAATCTAATAATAGGAACAGAAAGAAAAAAAGAGAGCTAATCATTCAATCCTGTGTGTGTGTGTGTGTGTGTGTGTGTGTGTGTGAACAAACTATTTGCAGAGAAATGAAATGGTTCTAGAGGAAATTGCTGGTGTGGGTAAAAGCAAGCACAGCAGATCATTTGGGCCTAAAACTGATTATCCCTGTTTTTCTTACTCGGCCATGGAGCCAGTGCTACCATTCTGTACAGTGAGCTGGTTGCTTCAAGGAACAAAAGTGCAGTGTTGGAGGGGAAAGCTGTGGGTACCACACGGCCTGTCCTGCATCTCTCCAGTGCTGCTGCTCTCAGGCGTGCTGCCTTCAGGCTTGCTGTTCTGCTGCTAGTGAGGAAGTAAAATTTAGCTGAGGGATGTCAGGGATGGGGAGAACTATTTTGTCCATCTCCCCAGGCAGCAGAATTTGTGTGGATCCTGCTTGGCCATAAAGTTCAGAGAATGTCATGGAAGGAAGAAGCAAGTAGGGTTTCACCCAAACCTCCTGACTTTGCCCACCCAGATAAGATTCCCTAATCAGGTAAAAAATTAACTTATTTCTGGCCTACCTATCTGATAAAAATGGTCTCAAGACTTTGAAAAAACTTAAGCACAGGATTACATGTAAATAAAGAAAACTGGTTTATTTTAATGACAATCAAAGTTTGCAGGTCATTTAAAAATAAAGATTTCTAAATCTAGTTAAAAAGAAGAAAAATGCATATTCTCTTTAGCAAAAGTCTATCACGTGACTTCAAGGTTTGAGTGACTACTCATCTTGGGGGATACAGCAATGCAGGAAGGGTGAGAGCGAAGCAGCCTTATTTGGCCAGCACCTCTCTGGCTTATGGAGGTCAGCACCTCAGTTCTGGAAACTTCAGCCTGGATGCTCCAGATGCTCCAGTCCTCATCACACTGTAAGAGCCAGCAGCTGCTAAACTGACAGGAAACCTTTGGCTAAGGCAGCTTTTCCTACTGGGGCAAAACTAACCCATCCAGAATAAGCAGCAGCACTACTTAAGCATCAGTCTAGCACTGCCTGTACTGAAGAAGTTTTCAAAGCTTCCCCAAGTTCCATGCAGAGCTGTCCTTCCAATGCTTTACCTTACCTACTTGGGTTACTTTGCTTTATTGAAACTTGGACCTGCTATACCTGGTTTTGTCTTGTTTGACTTCAGTATCATCTGACTAATTCCCAGGGCCAGATCATCTTAGGGATCATCACCACATTGCCTGATAGTGTTGAATACTTCAAGAGCTCATCTGTTTCAAGTTCTTTAAGGACCTTGAGAACAGAATCAACCACATGACCTGAGCTGTGGTAAGTCCAGGCAAGCCACATGTTTCATCTAGAGGAAGAGAAGTTGCCCAGACATTTAAAAAAATCCAGTATATGCCATTTTCATCTTAGACAAGTTGGTCTCTGTCCACCTAATTCATCCTACAGAATGGCTGCAAAGTTAGAAAGTTGCCCTGAGTGAAAATATGCAAGGGAGAGGGCAGCTGCAACCTTAGCAAGTCACTATTAATAATCAGTCTAAAACCTGTTTCAAAAACTTATCTCAGTCATAAAGGATGAGCGATGAAAAACCATCTATGAGTCAACTCACTGTCTTACCTATCCAGGGCAATGGCAGGAAAGCTGAGAATTGTCACTGAGCAGAAGACTTTGTGCAAGAACTTGATGATCTTACAGAAGACCATGGTGTAGATCCACCAGCAGCAGTGTGGACTGGCACTGAGGACAATGTCAAAAGGCACACAGGCTAGGCTGGCACAGATTCCAGAGCAGGCCAAGTTCTTAATAAACCGGTTAGTTACTGACTTAAAAATTGAAGTTCTGCATGTTGACCACAATACCACAGAGTTTCCTGGATGAAGAAAAACAAAAGCAAACCATGAAAATTAAGAAATACATAAATATATTCACAGATGTATATAAAATAATGGCATCGGTTCTTTAAATATGTATTTGGCATCATGTATTCACCACTACATTCTTTTCTGAAATTGTCATTGTCGTGTCTAGCTTCCTCCAACAAAGTGGGATGGTTGATAATCCTATGTATGTTTATTCAGAACATTTATTCAGGTCCCACTATAATTAATGATGATTCCCATAAATATGTAAAAGATTGCAGCATGAGACACAGTTTCAGTAAAAGGTATATTATACAATTATTTTATTTATATGTTTATTTGTCTGTTGGCTTAAAATCTTTTTCAGCTGTCTTTCAGGGCAGAAGTCTTCCCAAGATGACATACAGAAATAAAGCACAACATTGGTATGATATTAAAAAGAGTGAAAATGCAATAAAATAGCAGTTAAACCAGCAATACAGACAGAAACAAAAGTGATCATAATGGAATCATAAAAGGGGCCAAGTAGAGTTGAAAGGGGTCAAGAAGGCCCTTGGTCTAACCCCCTGCTGTTGCAGGTCACCAATTTACATCATTCTACCATATTTGGAAAAGGCCAATGTAAATTAGTATGTTTTCAAATTTTACTTAAAAGCTTGCTGCTACTTAAAAGCATGGCAGAGCCCAGTGGCCACTTCTTCCAGAGATGACTTCCAAACAATCCCTGGCAAATCATTATTGTAATATATTTCTAACTGATTGAGCAGATAACAACACTGTAGTCTTATCCCACCATTTCTATTTGGTATGTGAAAAAACTGTTGTGAGTCATCCAGAGACAAAAGTGATGAACGGCCTAGAAATATCCTGAATGAATGAATAAAATATTTAGCAAAATGACTTGATACCTGATGTATTTCTTCAAAGGAAAATCCACCTTAAGGGAACATAACTTTTTTCCTGTTCAAGATGTACTCAGCTCATCTAGAGCACAATCTGATGACCTCCCAACATAATCTGGGAAGCCATAGGATTATTTGCTGCCCATCTCTAAGGCCCTACAACTTCAGAGCTGGGACTCCAAGACTGAATGCCCTCCCACCCCTTTCACAGCCAGCGAGGCAAGAGCCCCACTGGCTGCCCCCACAAGGTTGCAACTGGGCCTCGGAGGGGAGCAGGCCAGGACCATTGCCTTTTGCTGATTCTAACAGCCATCCCAGCATCCTTTCTTTCCTCCCTATCCTTGGCACTAAACCTACATAGCCGTGACAGCCATCTAGAGAAATAGTGACAATGGGCATCACCACTGCTGTGCCTCACACCAAGCAAAGGATGCACAAAAGCCCTAACTTAACAAAATCATGCTTACTCTACAGATTTTCAGGAGAGATACAATAGCAGCCAACCGAAAACTGATGCTTTGATTTTACACGGAACTATTTTGTCTTGTATAAAGATCTTTAGCCTTTGCAGATAGAACAGGGTACCCATTCAACTTGTAGAATGAATACAAAAGAAATATTGCAGATTTCATTTAAAAATCCAGTTCCAGATAATACATGAAATTCCAGTAATGCAGTTGATCCTTATGCGCAATGACAAGTCCTTGTGACATTTTAAAAGGGGCTGGTCTCTTCAGGAAATCTCTGACTTTGAAAAGGGCTCTCACCTGAATGTCTTTCTTCACTGGACTTCACTGTTAATCCCCGAGTCATATTCTAAGAAACATCACTGAAGTAAATGCCAGCATTTATGGTAAGGGGAAGTGGGTCAGGAAGTGGGCCCAGTGTTCTAGGAACCTCAGATTCATAACTGCTATCAGTCGGGCATTGCCAAGATCTTACCTGCATTAGCACTTAACGATATGATGAAGTGGTGGCTGCAAATTCCATTTCTGTGTTGCTGCTGCTATCTAATTTCACAAAATTGTAAAACAAAAAAGCATTTGTTTTTCATAGTCTGGAAGGCTTGGTGTCAATTGGTCAAAATACATATTCATACAAATTGTGAAGTAAGCTAGGATTGAAAATCATAGTTTTTAGGAATACTGTATTTTCCTACAGCCAGTTCACATGGTTACTTTTTTTTATTCGAGTCCATGTGGCCATGTTTATGGTTCTCCGAACGTAATGCGCATGGTGAACTGATTGTGTGGACCAGCCCTCCATGGCACTCAGAGTGATCAGGCATACTAAAAGCAAATGGTGAACAGGGCTTATTTGCAGTGAATTTGCACATGTGCCCTGCATTTATACATGTAGGGAATATGTAGGATGTGTTAAATGCAAACAGAAGGGGTAGATTCTGCCCCCAATGCATGGCTGCACATTCAGCAGCCACACAAGCAAGGCATACACATGCACTGATATACAGGTATGGGTCCCTTCATGGGCCAAACAGGCCCATGGCCAGCAATACTGCATGTTGTCAACAGGTGAGCAGGTGCATCTGAACTTTCTTACATCTGAATAACCATGGATGGAAATGGGCTGTGAGTCATACAAAGCTTTTTGGAACTATTACTTTTAAGTATGCATGGAAAATATGGCTGAATTTTTGTGGGACTGCATTCAGATTGGCTGTGGGGTTGTTGTTGTTTTTTAAATAATAACACTGACATAAACCCTGACAGCTCTTTAGAAGGCCAGATACTGGAGATGAAACTCAAATACTTTGGCCATCTAATGAGAAGGAAGGAATCCCTGGAGAAGAGCCTAATGCTGGGAACAATTGATGGCAAAAGAAGAAAGGGGGCATGGTAGAGAATGAGGTGGCTGGATGGAGTCACTGAAGCAGTTGGTGTGAGATTGAGTGGACTCCAGGGGATGGTGGAGGACAGGAGGGCCTGGAGGGATGTTGTCCATGGGGTCGTGATGGGTCGAACACGACTTTGCCACTAACAACAACAACAACCCACATTCACTTGAGCCACTGAGCAACTTCTGCAAAGGACAGTCATTCTGTGAGCTGTAGGCCCTCAGCAAAGGCTCAGTTATATGCTTTTGGCATCTATCTTGTGAATGTTTCACTGAACGATCTGCTTAGGACCTAAATATCTGCAGGTTGAATGTAAAACTACTCTGGGTCACAGGTTTCCCATCCCTATAATAGGTAATAGGCCATTCAGTTAATGTCTTGAGAGCTGTCTCTCGATTACTGCATGCTCATATAATCCATTATTCAGTTATACGCGTACAATAAGGTAACATTTTCATCATTTAACTTTTCCAGAGAATGAAAGCTATTAAAATAAGAGCCATTCAAAATCTAAGAGTAAATCCTAATGTTAAAAAAGCAACCTGCTTGAATCACTTTAAACACATTTGTTATGGAGAAACACACAAGCTTTTTATCTGAATGGAACAATTAACCCCCCACCACCCCTTAAAATCATTATTGGTGATTTCTCTTTTTTTCCTTCATTCTCAAGCAACCATCTGACTTAACTAATACCACTATTTTCAGTGTACAATGCTTAGATTTTTTTTCAATCTTTTGGAGCTAATGTTCAATTCCTATCTATATAAATATCCAAATAGCACCACATTTGTTGCTAAACAAAAAGACGTATTTTCAAGTTTCTGTTTCTCCCACAAAGAGCACTTATTCAGAGAAAGACTGAATTCATATATTACAACATCCTACCCTGCAAATAAGCTACATTGTGTGGGGCTGTTTGCCTAACAGCCCATGGTGCTCCTCACAGATGATCAGGCTCACCATGGGTTGATCCTCTCCTTCCTCAACTCTGAGTCCTCCAGCTGGTATCCCAAGCTCCCTCATGACACACTCTGCTTTTTTTCTCATGTCCCTGTTCTGATCATGACCCCTTTTCATTTGCCACCAGGTTGTCAGTTTTTGGAGCTTTTAAAAAGCACATAGGGGTCATTTATTATCTTTGGCCTCAGAAATGCATGTGAATGTCAGTTTTTCAAAGCTGCACAAATGCAGTCTTAGATATTTCCAGTATACATAGAAACAGAACGAGTCAGAAGGGGCCTCCCAGGCCATCTAGTCTGACCCCCTGGCTCCAGCCAGCTCTGCTTATGACATGCCCACCATGTGCATGTCTAGCCTATCTTTGAACACCCTCACTGATGGGGCCTCAACCACCTCCTGTGGAAGCCCATTCCATACCCTAACTGTCAGGAAGTACTTCCTGGCATCTAAATTGAACCTTGGTTGAAGTCTTGCTTGCCCCTGTCAACTACCAAATGGTAACAGACTGATAAGGCGAGAGGACATACAGGCTAAATTGGGAGCAGCTGATCTCTGTCACTTGCCCAAAGCTTTTGCTAGTCCAGAAAGGGGAGATGTTAAGGCCACCTACTTTTTGCAGCTCCTTTTGAGAGCTACTGCTGAGGTTCCAGATGATGGCTGTCAAAAAACGTGGAGAATTAGGTGAACCGAGTGAATAAAGCCAGTGAGGAGGGTGACCCATTTGAACTCTCCCATTCTGCCTCCTCTTTTTCCTTTAAAAAATACATCTGGGAAATTTGTAATTTTATAGGAAAATATTCAGGGATTTCAAGCCTGGGAAGTAAATTGAAAGGAAATTAGCACATTTTCCCTTCCATATACTTCCCAGCCATGAAATCTTCACTATTTCCCAGTTAAAAGGAGGAGGAAAAAACCCACAGATTTCCCAGATAGTTAAAACAAAAAACCTTAAAGAATGGAGCTGATCCAATGGGACTCCCTGTTTAATTTGACCCCATTCACTCCATCCCATTCAGCATTTTATTTTTCACTTTGATTGGCAGCTGGTCTGAGCATTGATAAATGAGCAAATCAAAGTGTTCAGATGCTCTGGAGTAGAGGGGCTTTTGGAATGGAATTGAGGGGAAATTTTGTACAGTAACGGGACTCTTGGTTTAAGAGCAATTCAGAATAAACTCACTGGGTTTTATATTTCAAAGAACTTCACGCATGGGCAGAACTAGCCTACTAGGAGATGGGGAAGAAACTATGGTGGAGAAATTGCCACTCCCTAAGCCCTACCAGACTGCAC